TAGAATGCTTGATTGGATTTTATTTCTTCATACTTTGTATTGGGTGGGTCTTTATATGCCTCAGAAATTCAGGGGCCCCTGCTGAATTATTATGGCACTGCAGCTCTCCTTTTCATATCTCTTGATTGGGTCACGAATTTCGAATGTAATGTAGCTCCTGCGCTTGGAAAGAAGATATGTTATTTTGGGCCCACTAGCAGCTTTCCTGGAACTGCAGGGGCCCAATTATAAAACAAGACGAATTAAGACAATAACTCTGTCTAGAGCACCCAGTATTTTGTTAATTTTTTTATTCACTGCACACGTCAAACAAATGCTAAAAGCTAATCATAAAACTCCTAAAATATAAATGTTTCACACTATATCATTGATAACAATGGGCCATGCAGTGGTGTTAAGTTGCCAATGCATGATGGGTAATTTTGCAAATGGCTGTGTCATATCCTGTCGAAGTTCAACAGTGTAACGACTGACGATGGCAAATTCATAAAGCATGAATTGTAAATATTGTAGATGTTTGTAGTAGTTTTACATTTAATTCATATTCTTAGCCAGATACAATTTAAAGTTGACACTAAATGTTTAACTGCAATAGAAATAGAAATACAAAGGTGAAAGGCTTTAATGTTAAAATTATAAACGTTTCGCATACATATTTTCAATGATAAAAATCGTGTATGACTAGGGATGATGGCATGGGCACCTTTATTTATTTGTTTCTTTTTGAGGGGGGGCAAATTCTTTAAATATTTTGAAAAAACAGCCAAAAAATAATAGTAGTATTCCAGAAGTGTCATTCAAAAGAGTAACGTTGTAAGACATACGGAATTTGGACCTTTTTGTAAGAGTGTTGCAAGGCAAGATTAATACTCGGTATGTTTTCTTCCTTATTGCTGTTGACTTCATATTAAAGAATGAATATATATAACTTCTTCTTGTAGTAATAATAATGTCAAAATACTTGACAATGTATTGGCGTTATTTTCCCTTGTTACAGAAAGATAATCTGTTTAAACGTATTTCACATTATCATGCCATTAACGTGCCACGCCAGTGGAATAGATTTTCAGATATTATAATGTAATATTTTGCTAAATAAACATCCGAAAATGGTTGATCTAAATATATCTTGAATCAGCAAGGCACGATTTTTGTGGAAATTGTTAATTGCCACACGCAATCCTATATATAATCTTAGATTGTACTGTAGTAAGCAACTACCCAAAATCTAAACCATTAAGCCATGTGTGATGATTGTAAAGATAGCATTAGTTTGTATTTTTTTTTCGCAGAAACTCATTTGATGAATGTAATGAGATATTCAGGATACGCCTGTGTGTCATAGAATATGACGATGACCTGTGGGTTTGCTGGGTTATCGCACACACTATCGTACGTAATATGTGGCTTGCTCGGGTCTTTTGCTGGTGGTACGATGATGTTTCTTTGCCCTTGGCACATCTCTCCTGACAGAACACGCGCCATGTAAATGTACCTGTGGCCATAACCGTCTGGTTGCGCATACTGGTCAGCTGCGGAGAGACTGGCTATCGTTGCAAAGTATGCGCCATTTCCAATGAGACTTCCTGGAAGAGGACATATAAAATAAGTATAATGTAAAATTAACCGTCAAATTAACCGTCACTTTTAAGGTTTTTTTTTGTGCATCTGCCGGCACATGCTGGAATGAATTGAATCAATGAAACAATTATAGTCGATTTTGTATGAGTACGCAGTTTAAAAACTCAAAAGACAAAAAAAGTGATGTAACAGAGTGGAGAGATTGATTATATGATATATGCACACATACCGACGTTGCGGCCGCTGTAGCTGCGGTTGAAGCCTGTCAGGTTGATGCTTGGTACAGGGGCAGCAGGAGTACCGTGGTACAGGATCCGCTCAACAGGCTGAGCACTCTTTGCGTTGTCCAGTTCCATCTTCCTCTTTCTGACCATGTACTGGTGCCACAGGGGGACATTTTGTATGCGCTGTATCTGAAGGAAAGCAGATCACCAAAGTCAATAAAACGTACAAGATATGACCGTTCAAAGGCAGATTTGTTCATGCAGCATACGGTCTCTGCAAGTAAAAAATCATTTTGTATAGGAGAATTATGTAACATTTTGCACAAAAATCTAAAATTTTGATTACAAAAATCTGAACGTGATTCTAGTTCTGCATCTGTATAGCCAGTATAAACGCTCTTCGACGTAACACACCAGCTTCGCAGGCACGCGGCAGCTAGCTTTATCACACCGAAAGAACAACTTGATTGAGAGTTACTCTCAATTATTACGTTCGACGCTATAACAGCACAAACTACTAGAATGTAAAAAAAAATGACAGTTCCCAGCGTCAAATTTTGGCACCTCCACCCTCTGAATGACACTTTTTTGCAATAGAGTGTGATTGATTCAACTTAATTCGCCAAAACGTTTACCACAAATGTACGATTTGTATTATGCACAGGTTGCTTAATGCAGCTTTAAGTAGAAAGCAGATAGCTACTAGCTTTAAGTTAGGGCATTTAAAAGATAAATATAGAACTGCCTATACCTTCAGCACCCGGGCTGTCGTTACGGCATAATACCCTCCCGAAGCTGTGGCGACACTCTGCATGAATTGGTCGTGGACTTTCTTGTACTCGTCTGTTGTCGGTTGCAGGTCGACCTCTTTGTACTGGTCGTCGTCCGCCATACCGGTCCAGGTCTTTGGTAACTTTATGTTCCCTAATTAAACATATCATTGACAAACAGAAAGCATTAGTCTCACCAAGATGAGATTTTCAAGATTTTTTCAAGACTATTCATTTGGTTTCAATGAATTCACGTATTCTGAGAATAGACTTTGTGTATTTTTGCAGATCACCAAACTGCTTGCATATATCATGGGTATGAACATCACGGATATAGACAATGCAAGGATCAGTACATGTTATTATTTCAATTCCATGACAATAAGACCGTATAGAGGTACTTAACTAGGTATTTTGCACAACAAGATTTACCTTCTTTTTCCACCTCATGTCGAACAACTTCAGTTGCACCTGCTGCAACATCTCCAACAACCGTTTCCCTCATGGTTGGAAAGTCAATGTGCAGGTCTTCGCCCTCGAATTCAAAATCAACGCCTGTCTTCTTAGCCGCGTGGGCCTCCTCTATCATGTAGTTGACTTTGGCGTCGTAAGGCTGCTTCTCTTCTTTGTCGTCAACGTAGTACCACTGCACGGTCTTCAGGAGAAGTTCCGCCTTCTCTCTGAGATGCTTTTCTTCTTTGGTCTTCATCTCGACATCCCGTTGGAACTCGTTGATTTTGTGGGAGGCCATCATGACATCTATCTCTCTACCTTGCAGGCGGATGTTGCTTCTTGTAAAAGTGGCCAAGCAGTCGTGGCGAAGTGCCAGAGAACTGACATGCTGCTTTTGCTCCTCTGTTAGCTTGAACTTTGAGGGGATGGTCTCGTCTTTGGATGTTTCGTCTATCGTCTTGTTGATCATTCCCTTCGCTCGTGAGATGTTGTCAAGATTGTCGGAGTAGATGACGAAGACGATGACGTTATCTGGTGACGGGATGGGTTGAATGTCGGGCTTACTAGGCTGACCTCCGGTTAAATAGCTCAACCCGGCAGCTGCCATTCTACCGATGCTGCCTGTTGTATCAATTGATAGAACGTTATGGGTACTTGAACATATGAAAAAATTATACAATGGACATACAATTTGTGGCGCATAACCTTTGTCTACAGACGGCTTTGGGGCTACAATTGTGCATAAGGAGTCTCAAAGAAACCAAAACAAGGAGAGATTATTGTCGTTGCTTTACTTAAAGCAAGCCACAGGTTGTGTGTCTAGTCTCAGCAGATTTCAAGGTAGGAATAACTGACATCATCCAGGAGGCAAGTGACATCATTCAAAATTAAACATCATTTTGTTAAGCAGTTCATAAGGACACAGATACTAGTATACACTATTACCCCTCCCGTCCTCGACAGTGATGACAACGTAATATTTACGTTCTGGAGAAGAGGTCCAAGTTCTAAAACATCTCATATCTGAAGAAGAGAACAGAATTTTTTTTTACTACAGATATGTGATATTTTAGATTATGAGAACATACCCAAGAATCCGGACGATTTTGTTGGCATTTTAGGCACAGGTTGCCCAACCCTTTTCCGCATTTCTTCGTGGAAAGCACGCACCATCTCTTGTTGGAATATGGTAACGCGAACTTCGTTCAGCTTTGTTGGCTTGTACCGTAGGACAAAGTCTTGTAGAGCATCGAGCATGGTAGCTGCCGTACGTGCGACACTTTCTTGCAGGACGCCTTCGAAGGAAAAAAGAAAGCAAAGCATGTTTAATGAATGTCTGTTTCGCCCTAATGGATAGCACACATCAAGCAAAAATGGATAATATTATAAATTATAATTATGAATACTATTTGATATTAGCCGATTTTATCACAGTCATATTGATTTCCTACCTGTTCCCAAAGCAGGAAATGCGATTGAATTGAACCCTAGGTCCTCTGCAGTCCGCAGACAGTTGATGATCACGTTTCTCCAGTCTGTAGCTGGTGCAGCTGCGTGGATGATCTTCTTACATTTCAGCTTGCCCGCTCCTGTGACTGCAATGCCGCCTTTCATACCACCGCTAGCAGCTAATGCAGCATAAAAAGATAGATTTGCATATGTCCACAAGGTCGTGTTGTTACCAATATCAGATTGACCACGTGCACGCCATTTTGACATATTTTGTCCACATTCATGCCAGCTCCTATATCTCTGAAATACAATTATTAGCACATTGTGTACTGTGATACAATAGATTTGGGTGCTTTTTAAAATCAAATCAAAACAGATTAGATGAGTCCAATGAATGGCAGGTGAGAAAGTAACACTGCTAAATGATTTAACAGTTTGTATATTTCACATCACGCTGAAGTCAATTTGATTACATTTAAAAAATTCTAGCATCTGAAATGTATAATAGTACGATGCCTACCGATGCGTGTGCATTCACGTGCAATTGTAGGTCCACCAGCTTTACATATTGCATTGGAAACAGCACCTGAAACAATAATATCAAAAGATACAAAGGGGTATCAACAAAAACCAATTACTTTAGTAGCACTATTTTTAATTTGCATTTTGGTGACTAGAAGTATTCAAATTGAATATACACGATAACATGTTAAAATACTACGAACCTCGAGTCAGGTCTAGCTGTTCATTTGAGCTGTTGACGATGCAGTCTGTGGTCTCCATGGTGAGATCTCCTTTGCGGACGTTCAGCGTTAGGTCACCGACGAACATCTGCAGTTCTCCGCGCACAGGGTTGGACACGGCGGAAAACAGAGAACGCACTGAGAAGATGGAGTACAATTACTATGAGCATTTTGTCATCATAGTTACAGTGTAGCACTTGGGTAGTAGTGGTGTTCACAATGTATGATATATATTGTAAATATGATTGAATTTACCGAGAATTCCATTACTACAAGGACAGATTGAAATGCCTC